CATCACTCGGGAATATAACTTCCATACGCAACGAAAGCCACGGGGAGGGTGTGGGGTTCTGTCATAGTATCTAATGAGTCCCACAGGACTGACAGAAGGCTTCACGAAAAATGTTAACAGTGAGATCACTAACCGGGTTTTGTCGAAAAGTAAGAATCAGGCCGCGGAACCTTTGGCACATTGAAAAACAGAAATATAACGGCAATGTGCAGGTGTTATCAAATTGTAACACCTAAAATAATGTATACACAAATCCACAGTCATAATTTATGATTGAAGCTAATATCAGATGAATATTTAGAGTTTCTCAGGACTATGTAATACTGGTATTAGTTACGAAATAATTAACTAGAATTTGTACCAAGCTTGATTGAAATTGCTCCATCTGACATCTAAGTAATCCCAGACAAAACATCATTTTCAATCAAATTATTTCCCAAACGATCATCATATGTATTCCTTAATACTTTACCACTGTACTAAATTTGAGTTGAAATTGTTTCCCTGTGTATTTCTATGTACACATGTGCACATATACATGTAAGACAGCGACATAAAAATGCACTCTTACCTACCTGTACGAAAAATGCAAGAGTGAAGATCTAAATGATGAAAAATATAGAATGACAGATGATAGACTAACAGCTTTGTAAAAATAATTATAATGAGATTTTGGGAAGGACTCCTGCGTGAAGTGAGTGAACTATACTTTTATGTTTATTGAGCAACTGCTAAACATGCAACCGTTTCTGTCCAAGTATGTTGCTTTATAGATTGACCCAAAACTAATGATGCACCTTAATTTGATTCATTTGACAGTTGATAATCAGTATGAAAATTACCTAATCGTTATACAGAAACTGATATCAGATACTCATCTACACAAACGTCAGCATCGCGCGGTTTGTTGGTGCCGAACGCGTATTTTGATTCGATGTGTCTGTTGTAAATTTTGTTTTGGATTACTAATATACTGATGTAGTTTGTAATTAATTAATTAATTAATTATTAATTAATTAATTAATTAATTAATTAATTAATTAATGTAATTAATTGTTATCACTTCTCATTCAATCTTTTATCTAAGTACCCGAATCTTAGCAAAACAATGCATACAAAATAAATTCAAGCTTTATATGTTATAGACCAATGAATGATTCTATGTAGCTAATAACCAAAATAAAATTTGACAATCAAATCAAAGCCAGTAAGCCTGGCAAAAAATAGCTTCCAAAAAAATGATGGCGCACAATTGTTGCTGGTTTTAATCAGCTTGTCAACAGAGGGCGCTATGCAGTTGCAAAATAAATGAAAAGGGGATCAGTCCGCACGTCTAAGCTGGTAAGCACATTATTCATAAACCAGCGAATTGGTGATCAGAATTGTAACTATTTTTTCCAGTAAACATTTGTATTTTGCACACTGTAAATGTCGAGTGGAACTCATTCCGAACAGGAGGCATTCATAAAAGCCCTAGGACATGTTAAGCAATTTGTCAATAACCGTTAGTTTTTCACAATTTAAATTAGATAATTTCTACAGAACTGAAGAACAAATTTACCTCACCATATCTTCCATGTTTATTTTACCGTCAACACGCGTTTCACAATACACATACACGAAGGGAAAACAGCGCCATAAAACAGAGGAAGAGCGACCTTAGATCAGGGATCATCAAATGACGAACGACAATGTTTTATCATACAATGACAAAGGCGCACAATACAATGTCAAATAGACAACATATAACGAGCAATTGGTTGCATAACTTGACAAACGAATTACACACTGGCTATTAACATCAAACAACGAATATCAGCATAGTGACGAAAGACTGCTTTGCATATAAAGACGAATGGTCAACACATATTGCTAAATGCGATGAATATGACAAATGTCCATCATATAATAAGACATGCACAGCATATGGTAATAAATCGAAAGTATGTGATTGCTAAAGTACAGCATATAATGACGAATGCGCTGCGTATAATGAAGAATTTACAGCATATAATAACGAATGGTCGTATCATAATGAGAAATGAACACCATGTATTAACGAATGGGCAAAATAGATTTGGGAATGGCTATAACATAATGGTGAATAGATTCAGTTGCATATAATAAGGATTGCACAACATGTAATAACATATATGCAGCATATAATTACAAATGGTCATCATATATTGACAAACGAACAGCATATAATGCTAAATGGACTTCATATAATAACGAATATTTAGCATAAGATGACAAATGTTTTTATATACTTATGAATGACCATTATATATTGACAAATGCTTATCATATAATGACGAGTATATTACAGGACATACAACACGTTGATCTCAACACACTTCTTTGTTCCGCTGTCTAGTGTTTTCTATATCATTTAAATATATACATGACCTTATGTTTTTAGTTTATCGCGTTCTAGACTATTTCATTGTTTGACGCACTGGTAAGTATGAATTGTGTAATTATAATATATGGTCAGTATACGATTTGCATATATTAAAGCAGACGCATGAATGCAATACCAATTTTGAATTATGTGAGATTAATAAACAATGACATGGCCCTATAGTTATTAACACATTTTTGCTGTTTCTGTATAACGTATATACTTGCCTAGGTGGGCTTCCGAAAAAATAAGCTTTACCTATAACCAACAGCTTGCATTGTCTCATCTGTGTGCTGGTATTACAATACAATACAATGTTTACAATGCAATGCAATTTTATTTCACCAGATAAATTACATTACAAAGTACAAAACGAAGATAGAGATATACATAACTATCTGGCGAGGACAAGAGAGGTAGTTCTAGTAGAACTAATCTAGTCTCTAGCCCTTGCATATTCACTGATAGCAGAAAAAAACTGATAAGGACAGTGAATTCATAAATCATATTAATATATTGTTTAAGAGTACATAATACATAAGGAGAAAAATTATATGAAATATGGTGGTAATAGAAAAATAACAATAAAATTGATGTTAAATTATTTAAAAGAAATTGTTTTAGGGTAAGCTTGAAGCGATTTCTTGATGTTAATGTTTTAATGGAAATTGGAAAATCATTCCAGTGTTTTACTAATGAATATGTTAAACTGTTTTTAGTTGAGCTTAGTTTTACTTTTGGAATTTCAAGTTTGTCAGAAATAACTGAACGTGTCAAATAAGAGTGAGAGATTGAAGAGGCATAATGACCCAGAGAACGAGCATAACGATCGCCCTTCAGGTCATAAATAAACATGCACGTTTGGAACTTGCATAATTTATGCACATCAAGAATGCCCAATCTTTTAAAGAGTTGTGAGCTACTTGCACGGGGATTTGAAAAAGTGGCTAAGCGAATAAATTTTTTCTGTAATTTTAAAATTGGATCTATAACGGTATCTATAACGGTACTAACGTATGTGCTGGTATTCTAACGTTGCATCAGTGACACAATGAAAAAAGCTGCTTTTATGGTCATGACCATAAAAGTTGTGTCGGTGCTAATGTATAGAATTGGGAAAGGAGCATTCAAAAGTTGGAACGAAATTGAATCCGTTCAAATTAAATTTTGCCGCCCAATTACCAAACAATTCTACAGTTTTCGCTTTACGTTTAGAACATGGGCTATGTACAGTACGATTCTTTTCCCGTGTTAATTGCCCACCCATGGCCTTGCTCATCGTTGTTATCTCCTTGAAAAATCAGAAGCAAACAATAAACAACTACGATTGATATTTGATAATATGATATTTCCATATTTTATGTCATGGTTGAACCAAGGGTTAGACAATGTTCAATGTTTCATTTCACTGAATTAACATTATATGACTAATAAGTTCAATCACAAACAGCTCTCAACATATAGTAAATCAAAATTTGGACATGAAAAGTACCTTAAAATAGTTGACAATATGTTTTTATTACATATTTTTCACAGTCATCAAAACAAAACGCCATTCAACAAAATTTTATACTGTTCGATGATATTAATCTATTTTAGTGATCATAAATCATTCTTGAAAGCAATGTAAAACATCCTGTCAGCATATTTGGGAAATAGGTTACAGTGTAATGTTTGCATTTTGTTGGTGGTGCTCACTTGGGATAACGGTAAACGAACATTATCATTAGTGTGTCTGAGTAGTGTCACATAAAGTACATTACAACACGGAAAATCGTAATTACATAATGATGAGTAAAAATAAACCTCGTATATAAATAACTGTAAATAACAAAATAGGACACATTATTACACATGGAAAAAGCATGTAACATTTGTTCTTCTCAAACAGATTATACATAACTATTTTGG